CATTCCTATGGAAGTTGCTCAGTGGAGCGCGACGTCAAAAAACGTTTTTTCCCCTTCCTTTCCCAAATTCTGCCGTATCCGTGAGGCCCAAAGAGCAAGCATACTGGACATTTCCTCTAACCCCGCCTCCAGCTGCTCTGTCTCGGCTTGCTGTCTCGGGAAATAACTTCATAATTTTACAACTGTTTAGTGCCTATTGATTTAAATGAGGGCTATTCAAGTGATCGTATTGGGATATTAATTTTTTTTAAATGATCTGCTTTACAGGCTTCTTTGTCCCAATATATGTCTGTGGGAATAAGTCTTTTAGGGCCCAACTGGATCACATGACGGACTCTACAACAGTTGGCTTGGGATGCAATCAATGTCTTCATAACTTTATCAGATGCAGCTGCTGGCATTAGAATAAAATGGGGAAAACTCTAAATTCAGATGAAAGAAATTAGCCTTTCGTTAAAAAAATGAATTCGTCTATTTCTGTGGTGTGCTTACACAAACCGCTTGATTACTTAAGTGTGTGTGTGTGTGTGTGTGTGTGTTCAGGATGAGCTTATGGCTGAGCTGGAGGAGCTGGAACAGGAAGAGCTGGACAAAAATCTTCTGGAAATCCAAGGAGCAGAGGACGTTCCTCTCCCCAGCGTACCATCTACGTCACTACCATCTAGACCAGGTATTATATGTTGCCTAAATTCAAAGATATATCTATTCAATTCACACGCAAACACCATGCGGCACGCCATCAGAAAACACAATAACATGAATACATGTTGTGTTTTATTTCTGATTGTTCCTCTGTTTGTTATTCTTTAGCCAAGAAGAAGAAGGAGGAAGAAGACGAGGACGACATGGCGGACCTCGAGGCCTGGGCGGCGGCTACCTAAGCTAGCTCGCCCTGCTAGCTAGCTGGTGCCCCTCTCCTGTCTGTCTCTGTGCTACCAGGCTGCTCCCAGACATCTGGAACCGAGACAGGGACTCTGGGCTGCTGAGCTGGCTGCTAGCATGCTGCTCCGTCTTAAAGCCTACGATATCTACCCATACCCCCAACACTAAAGTATGCACTCGTGCACATATTCACTGACTTTAAAAAAAACAAAATGAACCCAGACTCTTCTCCTCTGATTGATGTCACGGTACGAATCTCTTTCGCTCCAGCTGTGCACGCCTGTAAAGGGCAGCGAGTACGCAAAGCAAATGTCGCGCACCCGAACAGCCTGTGGTTGAGTATATCGAAGTTGTCTTTTTTCGTTTAGGAAAAAGAGTACTTGAATGCGCCCTCTGGGCAGGAGAGTGCAAGTGCATACTTCGAGGGGAGGGTGTGTGGAGGAACAGGAGGAGGCTTTTTTTTCTGGGAGGAATGTGAAGAATACACAGATGTATGTAGTGGGGGGGGGGGACAGAAAGACAACATGATTCAGCCATTTTTTCTGCTTCCTGCGTTGTCGTCTCTTTGCTCTTCTACAAGGACGATGACGACTCATCGTCGACGCTACAACCGTCTCTGCTGAATCTCAGCAGTAGCAACAAACAAAAAAAGATGAATAATGAAAATGTTGGACTTTCTCATTGAAATATCGCTGTCGACATCTTGTAAAGGGAGGATCCGGGTGTCTGATCCCTCCGTCAGCCATATCTCTGTCTTGGTCACCCACAAGGCTCTCTGGATCCAATCCGTTAAATTCCTAAAATTGAATGCGAGAGAAGTGTTGTTGATAGAAACCACCCCTGAACATTCCGGTGGCACCAGTGCCTGTTTAGAGGCACAGTGAGTAGGATGTTTAGCTCATGGTTTGTAAACACAACATTCAAATTTGGCCCCAACGATGCTTCGCCAGATTCACCCACATTTCGGAACCAGTTTTTTCGGCTTGCCGTTTAGCCTCGCGAAATCCTAAATAAATAATGTGTCTTATCTTCTCCACTATTTAATTTTCTGACTCAGGTAAGCCTACTTGATACCTTAGCTCACTGACTCCCGGCCTTCTGTTTATTGTTTTTGTGACCCAATATGAACTTCCAATATGGCTGCCAGAGGCTACATTACAACACCTCGTTCCTCAGTTTAAAATTGCACGTGCCTGACACCTCCAGCGCCTTGTCCGTCTGTGGTTTAACAGCGATGTTCTCTGAGAAAATCCTACATTGGTTGAATAATAATTGGTTGATTGGTAATGTGTGAGTGTGTGTGGTGGTGTTTTTTCCCCCAGCCCTTTGACACAGTGACCTCTTGAGATGCTGAGCTGGATTTTTTTTTTTTTTTTTTCACTTTGCTCTTCACTCACCTGTAGTGCAAATCTGATTTTGAACATGAGACGTGTTTGGCTCCATGTTTGTCTTCGCGATTGGACTTCTGCTCATTACTTATGGCTGCGAGCTTCACTTCCTGTCCTCCTTGTCAGCAGACACGGTTACGCATTGGACGGATTGGGGTCAGTCCGGAATCAAACCGAGGGGGTTGAGACTGTAAATCTTTACATAAAAGAATTAAGTGAAGTAGTGATTTGAAACTTGTGCTCATTTTTATAATGCAAAGTCACCGTCGTTGCGAGCGGGTCGACCCCAGTCCTGATATTTCACAACAAACTGTTGAAAAGAAACTTGCATATGCCAATAGTTTGTTTTTCTTCGTCCTTTCTGTTTTACCTCAAATATCACTCGTGTTGTATCTGACTGCACAGAAACAGTGCGACCTGTTGCCGGCTCTGCTCAGAGCTGTACAAAGACGCCATGTTGCTCTGTGACCCAGGTTGTATGCCGTTCATCTTAATAAAGTTGGGGTTTGGTGCAAGTATCGGACCTGTTGTGTCTGTTCATTCAAAAAAACAAGTTTCCCCTTCATGCCTTGTAGAGAGCCTGCATGTGACATAAGAAGGAAGTCCAAATCTGAATGACTTGTTGAGTCACATTTCAGATTCCCAAATATATGTGCAAAGCACTGACGAGGTGAGTTTTTATTGATATGTCCCCTTTAGGTAATTGAAGGTACATTTCAGTGCTCTGAAACCTGTTGGTATGTATCAATTATATAGTAAATTGAAAGATATTCATCCAGCTGTTTCTATACAACTTTTTTCCCCACCTACTTTTTGATGAGTCATCAATAATATCAGTCATTGAAAGCTCCTAAATGTTTTAGAGGAAGGGGGAAAGAAATGGCATTTATAAATGGATAACTTCAAACATTAAAAAGAGGTATTTTGCAGTTGAAGACTCATGACCATCTATACCTTTAGGAGGTTTAAAGGAGCAATGTACGACATTCTGAACATTAATAAAGCAGCAAACAACTCTTATGTGAAGATATAGAGGAGTAAGTAGTGATCTATCTTCTTAGTTTTGGGACCACATTACCTGTTTTCTGTCATTAAGATTAACGTTGGTGCTCACTGTAACCTGACAACCCAAATATATAGTTTTGTTATGTGTCTGATTTAGGAATGAAAGTCTTTATTATAGTGTGTAAATTGGCATATTTTACAGGTATTTATTTAATGCTCCCTTATACTCACGAGAACACTTTTCATTTGCACATATAAGCTTGGATGTAGTTTTAATTGCACAACAATGCCGCTCCACCTGTGGTTTGCACTAGCAGCTGTATTACTGACTGCATTCATAATCTACTTCATAATAAAGTTATGAAGAAAAAATAAGAATAATCCTGCTGTTTAAAAAAATAATAATATTTACAAGGAAAAGCGTTATTCCCATTGAAAAGAAACTACTTGTAGAGGCTGGAAGAAGGTGAACTCGGGTCCATAACATCGTCACCAGAGTGTTGAACGACAGTTTAAACTCAAACCTGTGACACTTGAGACCGATATGGTGACGGTCCGCTGTGGTCCTCAGCAGGGCCGCTTAAAACAGGCTCTTAAATTAGCTGAAGTATATTTAGTGTGCTGACTTCAGCCTTTTCAACTGAAGGCTTCCACTCCCGGTATTTCTAGGCTCATAGTCACTCCATTTTCCATCCATATATGCTCATTTTCAGGACCAGGTTGGCTTCTCAGAAATGGCATCATTTAGCAGGTGATTAGTACCGTACATAATCTAGAATATTTACTATAAAATGAATTGGCCCTATCTCATATCGGTGACGTCCACCCAAACCAAACGAGTAAAAACCAGAGAAGACAAGTAAAACTAACGAGGGAATGTGTCTTTTTATATCATATTAGTCCAATCCAGCGGTTATTAAAGTATTCATTGTCTTAATTTGTGTGTAGAAAATGATTTGCTAAAAAAGGAAACTCACAATAAACACAAGCCCTTCATTCTAATGTTAACTTGAGTAAAGTAACTTGTTTGCAGTATATTAATGTAATACAAAATAATGTTAGTTTGAACTCTAAACACTTCATCATATTTTATATTTCTGCAGTTTTTTTGTTCATTTGACAGTAAATGTAGTGGAGTCAAAACAATGTTGTTTACTTCTGAAAAAGTGAGTCACACAGAATGTAAAGCTTCTGAATATTGTTGACAACTTCAGCGTGTGAGGACCTTTACCCTCAGTAACAAGGTCCGCTGTGGAGGAGATTCTGGGGCAAAGGCCGAGGCCGGGGTCAGAGTTCAGGTTGGGCAACGGCTATTTTTAGTACATACACTGATATTATATATCTTTTAAATGTTTATCTTTACCGTATTACCATTTATTGGTGTATTCTTTGTATGAAATCTGCTATACAAATAAAGGATCTTCTTAATATTATTACAATATTGTTTAATATACTTTAATAAATATGTTTTACTAAGATTGTTATCTTTGCACGGTGACGAATCTTCTGTTTTAATTGTTCTTCACTATTTCCCACATTAAAAAAAAACAACTTTTTTTTATTTTTAGCCTTTTAGTTTCTTGGCCATTTTCAGGCCAGACTGGTACCCCACGGTTTCCGAAGCAAAGTGCAGATACTTGGCTCCGTAACCAGACCTTATGTCTTGATTGTCTCCGCTCTGGCTAAACAGCAATGACTGGCTCCACTGGCTTTCCTCTGGCCTGCTCAGTTGTCCAGCTGCCTCTCCTGCTTATACAGCACATAAAGCCCTACAAATAGCCACTAAACATCTTCTAGTACGGGAGCATTTTCCACAACATTCTCCGACTAAACATACCTTTAAACTGCAGAAGCAAAGGGCAGATACTCGGCTGGCTGACATCTAAATTGTGTTTGCTTACATTACACATTACATGGCTCGGTCCATTTCATCTGAATGCCTCATGTGTCTGACTGCAGGTTGTATCAGCGTAAACTAAAAATAATTACAGTGTTTAAAATAAATAAAATGTTATCACATGCATGGCCCCTGTATGAGATAGGGCCACAAAATGAGGTTTAATGTCAGATTGACACTTTTATAATTCAGTCGTGCATTTCCCTAATGCCAGTGGTACATTTATTCAAGTACTAGACTTAAGTAAATCTTAAACCATTTTAACCCATAAGGAGTAGTTTACTTTTTATACTTTAAGTATATTTTGCTGATAATACTAACATACTTTTACTTAAGTATGGTTTTGAATGCAGTACTTTTACTTGTAGTGGATTATTTTCATTGTTTAGTAGTAGTACTTTAAAGGATCTGAACATTTCTTCCACCGCTGCCTAAAGCAAATACCTTACATTATGGCATGGTGTCTCATTGCCCAGTTCAGTTGCACAAGAATGTGCAGGACAACATTCCTGTTGGTACAAGTTAGAACTTTACAGTATGTGTTTGGTAAAATGTGTTTGTGTAACCTACAATACATTATCATTCAACCCCAGTACTACTGAAAAAAGAATATGAAAGCATTGTATAGTTATAATTTAACTTATTTGCCAAATGGGGAAAAAAACCAAGGTCTACATCACCAGGTCCAGACTAAACTTGTTCTAAAAACTCACGCCCCCACAATGCACCTGAAGCTATCATTGGCTGGCTGTCCCACATCAGCCGTTATCCAATCAAATCACTCACACGCGGGGGCGGGAGCTGCCGCAGCCAATAGGAATCCAGAGTAGATCCGGATTTGAACACGCCCCGTCGTGTAACCTAGTTTGAATGTGGGCCCTCGAGGATAAAAAGAGAGCCGTCATGTGTCTGTCCCTCCCTCTTCTGCCTCCATCTGTCGGCCGCTGTACTCAACCTTCCCGAAACAAAACACCGGAGAACAACAATGTCTGAAAAACTTAACTACAAAGTTGGTATGTCAAAATATATTATTTTAACTGCTATTATAAGATGTGTTTTGCGGGCAAGTAGGGTTAGCGGTTTGTTAGCTAGCATGCTGGGAAGTTCATGGTAGTGTGCGTGTTGCTCTTCTAGCAGCCGATGCGGAACTAATCGTGCAATAGCTTTTTGACGGGTTTGCTGCCAATTACACCGTTTTGAAGTTGTAATGCTAGGACTTGCCTTGCGTCGTTAATGCTAACGTCAACTTGCTAGCATGTCGTTAATTGTGTAGCGTTGTTATTGTCGTTCAAGTGTTTAACATATTGGTTGTTCCGTTAGTCATTTTTAGTTTCTGGCTTGTAAATGTCCTTGTTTCGATACTCGCAGTTCGCGGAGTTTGCTTAAATCTTGAGAATGAATCGACATGTAACAGCAGTGCAAGCACCGAGCATGGGCTTCTCTGAACAGAGACGTCTACAGCCTCTGGGTATTGTAGTTTATTAGTGGAGCCGGGAGGCGTCACTCCCTTTTCCGCGAACTGTTTGCAGACTACATTTCCCGTGATGCCTTGCGCCTCGCCGCCAGTTTTGTACATGATTGACAGGAGCAGACAGACTGAGCAGCACTGTATGCAACTTGCTGTACCGTAGTAATGCCTGGACTACACGTGGTGCTCTTTTTGTAGCAGCTTTGAAGGCCTCATGCTTTTTGATTAAAAGTTGATTTAAAATGTATTAATTCAGTGGAGAACGTCAGGGTATGCATGTGACATGGAAGATGTCTATTTAAATAACTAGTTGTTAGCTAACCGAACTAGCTGGCCTGCTGGGAAGCAGAAGGTGTTTTGCAAGACAACTGGAGGGCGAAGTCTCAACATTCTCCACAAACATGCATTCAAGTGTCAGTTTCTCACCAACGGTCTGTCAAGTCCTGACATGGTAACTGATACAATTATAATTTACTCAACATTTAAAGCCTCGGTTTGAACACAGCAAATATTGACTTTAATTTACGCCAGGCTTGTTGTTTTTCAAATAACCAGTTTGAACTGTTGACACAAAGGTTGGGTCATGAGGACATGTGCACCTGGTGGATACATGTACTTCAAATACTACAATGCAGGCTTTAGATGGGATTTGAACCACAATGCCTGTATTGCCTTTATTGGGGCCCTGCTCATGTAGCCATGCAGGACCACACAATGATTCACATGTGCAGGCAGTAGCTAACTCTGCTGATTGTGGTGGTTTTTAGTTTAGTCCCTCCTTTCTGACCTCGGTGTGAACCTGTGTTCCTAATCCAGTCTCTGGCTGGTCATTCAGGCCAGTGCCGGTTAGGTGCAGAGGTGTGTTTGCACAGGCTTCAGCCTCTGTGGTGGTGAACCTGTTCTTTGGGACTTCCATCCTGCATCCCGGTTTGCCTGCAGCGTTGTAGAGACGTGCAGCTTACCTTCCTGTTGAGTCTGGATGCTCTCTGTTGTATCATGATAATGTGTTTTTATCAAATTACATTTTAAAATGAAATGAAAGGAGTGACTGTACAGAGGACATGCAGCTGTGTGGGTTTTCTCCAGTACAGCATGGTTAACAGAGAGACTATGTTCATGTGTATCAGAAATTTAAATGGTATTTTTTTGATTTTAACATCCTGCTGTCCCCCCCCCCTTCTAGCTGACATCAGCCTGGCCGAATGGGGGCGCAAGGCCATCGACATTGCGGAGAATGAGATGCCCGGTCTGATGAAGATGAGGGAGATGTACAGCAAGTCCAAGCCACTGAAGGGTGCCCGCATCGCCGGCTGCCTCCACATGACCCTGCAGACCGCCGTGCTCATCGAGACCCTCACCGCCCTCGGAGCTGAGGTGACGTTTACCAGCTGCTCATTAATAATCAAGAGTATCCACTGATCATCTGTCCGGAGAAGAGGCACAATTCACAAACTGGTGTGGGTATCAAAGGCAGAAGAATACTTAGATTTGATGAAATCCCCCTTAATGTGATGCATCAGACTGGTCTTGGTGATCTGAAGTTGCGCGCACACACAATATGCATGGCCTCCAGATGCTGTGATTTGGTGCAGTTGTAATATTTCAATAGCAAGGAGAGAAGAGTTGTACAGATTCTAAAATAAACGCACTCCTTTCCTTTTTTATTTGAGAGGCCCGTCGTATTTGATCTTGCACTGCGGTGAGCGTGGGTTTTGTTTTCTGACTTTTGGTTGTACTAAGTTAAAGTTTTCTAGGAGACGCAACTCTCTCTTCAAGATTGTCTCCGTTAGTCTTTACGACTCATTCATATGAAGCATCTTTAACAGATTGTGTGAATTACAGGCCAATAGATTTAACACTTTTGAATAAATAAGGTGTAATGTTCAAATAAGCGTCATCAGAGAAGAGAGCAACTTGGTTTACTCATAACCCGCTCAGTATGACCTCGGTATTCTGCCTTGCTAAAGCGCACTACAGCAGCAGTAGTTACTGATCCATTTGTTCAAACAAACTGTTTCAGTGAGTCTGGGATTTTCTGTCTCAAGGCCGGTGTGTTCTGTTCTCATGTTGGTTTTTATCTGTCTGACCAGGACTGCTTTCATCCTGCAGGAACCAGCAGAATAAATAACCTCAGCAGAATAAATACCCCCCCTCTCAACATTTACATTTCCCTGTGAAGATTTCTTTCCAGCTGCAGTGGAGAGTTTTGAACACTAGATGGCAGCAGAGTTCACAAAGCAACGGCAGCTCTTTCATTTCTTGTTGGTACAGTGAGGGACCCATAGCGTGGTAGATCTTGTCGCGTTACAGAGAAGACGTGCAGCGTGACACGACTGTTGGTAGTAAACGAGCAAACTGCTTCACATTTTAAGAACCCTCTCAGAAACCCAGTTAAGTGGATACGTGACCAAGAAATGTAGTTTATACGCTCATTATAAAATGAGTTACTGCAGGGTTAACAGGTTCACTAATTTCATGTAAATGCACTGAACAACTAGAGGTTTTGCAGTGAATATAGCTTCATATTCACTGCCTCCAGAAGGTGTTGCATTCTTGTATATTATATAATATTGAGGAGATTAATTCAGGTGAACAGTCGGTGAAATGACGTCGTCTCCTTCCTGACGATCCTCTCTTCCTCCTCAGGTTCAGTGGTCGAGCTGCAACATCTTCTCCACTCAGGATCACGCTGCTTCCGCCATCGCCAAGACTGGAGTTCCAGGTACCGCAGACCAACTCCACCTGTGTGACCTGTCTATTGAATTATAGAACGACCAGGTCAACCAGTTGTGTATTATGACTTTCTTGCTCTATCGCCACAATACTTTGAATTAGAGATTGATGATGATTTTCTGTTAAGGGAAAATATAAACTACAGGAAGATCAAATAAGAAAGGATGTTGAATGACTTAATGCCCGTTGAGATGTTGCAGCCCAACTGAGTGTTGACGCTGTGTCATCAGGTGGCAGAGAGAGACCGGTGGTAGTCTTCACTGAGGACTCGGAGTGATGCTCTCACCGACAACTTGGTCTCGCTGTCAGTCGTCTCGCCCGACTCTTAGATAGAAGGCTAATGAGCTCACGTGTCCCTCTCTGTTGGTTAGTGTACGCGTGGAAAGGAGAGACGGACGAGGAGTACGTGTGGTGCATCGAGCAGACTCTGTACTTCAAGGACGGCCAGCCCCTCAACATGATCCTGGACGACGGAGGAGACCTCACCAACATGGTCCACCAGAAGTATCCCAAACTGCTGGCAGGTTGGTTTCTTTACTCACGGTTCATCATGAAGCAGCTGTCTGTGAATGATCTCAGTGAAGCCTGAACTAAGATCCTCTGACGTCTGTTTTCCCGCCTGTCCACTCAGTTTGGTAGTTAACAGAAATAATCGTCGGGTCATTTTCTGAAACTAATTTTGAGGAGAAGATGTCCCAGAATTCAGTGGCTGGTGGTGATTTCCCACTCTGTTACGCCGGAGTGAATGTTTAAGCTGTATGGAAGAGTTTTGGACACTAGGTGGCGTCAGTGGTCTGACACGAGCTGGTTCACAGGGCAACTTCTTCATGTTGCATTAACTTGTATTAGTTTAAGTTTTCAAAGATTATTCTTTTAACTTGGAGCTGATTCCTCCTGGTATTCCAAATGCTCAGCCTCTGCCAGAAAGATGATAAATATTTACATTATTAAAAAAAAAAGAATAACATATTGCTCGCCTGATATTGTTGCATATTTGATTTAATGCCCGTTGAGACATTGCAGCCCAACTGAGTGACGCTGTGTCATCAGGTGGCAGAGAGAGACTGGTGGTAGTCTGCACTGAGACTCAGCAACTCACTGAGGACTCGGAGTGATGCTCTCACCGACTCTCAGATAGAAGGCAGATAAGCACGTCGAGATATCTGGAAAAACATGACGACAACTGCATTATTTTGTATAGTGTGTTCACGTTTACATGTTCTTGATCTTAAACACAAATTACAAAGAATATTATGCTGATGCTTAACTGCATAGTATATTAATTACTCAAAATGTAACTTATTGTCATTTAGCATCCAAAAGCTGATGCCTGTTTGCCGGCCTGGCAACCAATTTTAATTGTTAATGTTGTATAACATGAGAAGTTCTTATTGAACTCACTATTGCTTCATGCACAGTGTAATACCTTCTGTTCTGTTGAACTATGTGTGAGATTATGGTCTGACGTTGTGTTTCAGGTATCCGTGGCCTGTCAGAAGAGACAACCACAGGTGTCCACAACCTGTACAAGATGTTGAAGAAGGGCGAGCTGAAGATGCCCGCCATAAACGTCAACGACTCCGTCACAAAGGTGACAACTTGTGATCTTTGTAATTGGAGGGAGGACAGTGGTAATGGTGTATTAATTGCACCTTTTTGTTGTTGAATGAAGAGTTTTTCTGTAAAGAAATATTCTCATCACTCTTTGTATTGAATGAAATGCTTACAGTACAATAGATTATACAGCTCAATGGCCCTGAACTGGGGGTCATGAGAATACCCTGACTTATGGAAATTTATTAAGAAGAGCTCGACTAATATTAATAATATGTAATGTTTTCTGTCTCTCTCCGTACCCTGCAGAGTAAGTTTGACAACCTGTACGGCTGCAGGGAGAGCCTGATCGACGGCATCAAGAGAGCCACGGACGTGATGATTGCCGGTAAAGTTGCCGTGGTGGCGGGCTACGGAGACGTGGGCAAAGGCTGCGTCCAGGCTCTGCGCGGTTTCGGCGCTCGCGTCATCGTCACAGAGATCGACCCCATCAATGCCCTGCAGGCAGCCATGGAGGGTAGGTGATGATGGTTAAAACAATAATGGTATTTCTCTTCAAAACACCACCCATTATTTGAGAATTCAATCTCTTCTTGTGATATCAAACTACAGTGTAAACCATCGTTTTCTCTAAATGAAAAACAAATGTACAACGGGCTAAGCAGCTATGGTTGAAACAGTCCTCAAGTGAATTGATGGAGGCCGCTCACGCAATGCCCCCAAAGTGGTACTCTGCTGATCCTCAACCAGCTTTGCTCGGCCACAGCCCATTGTTCCCTCACGTCCTGAAAAAACCTGGAAAACCAATTTTCCAGTAATGGAAAACTCATGGAAAGTAAAGGGGGAAAGTCCAATGGATGTCTAGTAAAATCATATCAAAATATTATAGCTGAGAATGAACTATATCTGTCAGAGCTCTCCAAAAAAGGGCCACGTTCTGTTCAGGATCATCTTCAATTGGTAGTTTCTGAATGTTTTTAAATAGACTGCCATGTTGTGGAAACACTGAACACACCCTGAAGCATGTGCTACATGTTACAGCTCAAGAAAGTAGAAGGCTACATTATCCTTTAAAATGCATCACTGCTGGCTTTTACAGTTTGGTGGTTTCGTTATCATATTACATGATCAATTTGTCATAAGATGATTTCATAGAGACCTCAATTCAATTTATTTTTGTATAGCCCAAACTTACAAATTTGCCTCAGAGGGCTTTACAATATGTACATGTTTGACATCCTCTCCCTGCCTGTCATAAGTTGGATCACCACCTAAAAAAAATAAGCTCATGATAAAGATCTGCTGATGGGGATCAATTTAACCCGACAGACGTGATCACTAGAATAAACCCATCTCCTGTTGCTCTGCAGGTTATGAGGTCACCACCATGGATGAGGCGTCTAAGGAAGGAAACATCTTCGTCACTACCACCGGCTGTGAGGACGTCATCCTGGGACAGTAAGTGGGACCAACTGATCTGCAATGATACTTTCATTTGTATGCTTCATTTATTCAAAGTTTCATTGTATGAAAATGTCCCCAACACGCCTCATTATAATTATTGTTCTGTGTTTGTCTCCCTCAGTCACTTTGAGAACATGAAGGACGATGCCATTGTTTGTAACATCGGACACTTCGACTGTGAGATCGACATAGGCTGGCTCATCAAGAACGCTGCAGAGAAGATCAACGTCAAACCTCAGGTAGGAAGACTCCAACAGACTTTACTGTAACGCTTAAGCTTCCTGAGGCGCATGGATGGAGTTTGGCTTCTCTTCTGTATTGTCGACCCTCATCCTGAACCGTCACAGAAGCTGTAATCCTCCTCCTCCTCCTCAGGTCGATCGCTATCGTATGAAGAGCGGCCGTCACGTCATTATCCTGGCTGAGGGCAGACTGGTCAACCTGGGCTGTGCTATGGGACACCCGTCCTTCGTCATGAGCAACTCCTTCACCAATCAGGTACAGTGAGTTTGTGTGAACCAGAGAAGAGAAAAGATGGCTGCCACACATGCAGTAAAAACGCTGAAGTTCTCTTAAAGGCTTTGACACACCGGCGTGTTTTTTGTGCGATTGATTTGCACATTTTTGTCATTAATAATTTCACATAATGTGAATATTACATGGACATATTCAAAACATGCGCTGAGGTCACATAGTCTGAACGAAGACGCGAAACTTTATTGCTTCTTTCTACCTTGACAAAATCAGCGCAGACCAAATCTACTCCTTAGGTTCTTGTCTTTCACAATAAAAGCCCTGGACATATATACACTAACAATCTACTGGAGGGAACTCGAGAGCATTTCGCCACAAACAAAATGAATGAACTGGTAACGGTAGCTTAGTTTAAACAGTTTACCTCAGACAGACTGCAGACGCTGCTCTGGGTCGATAGGATCCTGGTAGTTTGTCCTCTGCCTGCATCTGTTCAAACCTCCTTTATTAAAAAAAAAAAAAGGTTGCGATTGTCACCATTTTACATCACTACCTGTATGAATAGTTTTGACTTATTAGCAGCTGAGTATTTATTTATGGTGTGTAAAGGCCGTTAACATGATGACACTATAGCTGCATCCACTCTGCTTCATTAAATGTTTTTGTCTCTTTCTTCAGGTTCTGGCTCAGATCGAGTTGTGGGAGAACACCTCCAAATACCCCATTGGAGTCTACTTCTTGCCCAAGAAGGTCAGAGGCCACACTGATCATACTGTGTACTTCATGCAGCGCGTCACTTAGACATGAATATCCACCTCTAATCTGCAGGACAACATGCAATGATTGCAGATTAGTGATGCCATGTATTCACAACAAAACCTGTGAGACAGTTATAACCTTGGAGAAGCCAGGCCGGTGTCTTCTTTCCTTTTGTGGAGACATTAGAAGAAGAGTCTGAAAGCTTGACGTGGGGGGGCGGCAGGCACGCGGCGCGCATTTCAGTCTTCACATTCCAGATTTGATCTCGGTCCCTGATAACAATCTCGGACCATGGGAAAGGTTGTTTTTGAAACGCTGAAGCATTATGTAGCTGGTGTTGTTGGAGGTAAGAGTCTTCTTCTCATTTAATGAAAGCGTTGAACTCTAGACGTCTATTCAGGTTGGAACGGATACATTCGAGATATAGATCAAGCGGAGTGACGATCTCATCGCATGAAGTGTATTTTACTTAAGCCTAAAAAAAAAACCTCAGAAAAAATTAGAGCAGGAAATCCCAGCTGTGATGTTTGTACAGTGATGGAGAACAGTCACTTCAAAGGGAGCGCGGGTCGTAAGAAGAGCAGGAAGCTGCTGTTGAATGCAGCAGATTTATTTGGTGCTCAACGTTAAAAAGCCGAGAGATGATGCGCTCCGTATCATCTCTCGGAGATGATGCGCTCCGTATCGGCTCCCGGAGATGATACGGAGCTTTGAGGAGTGGGGTTATGCCCCCGCAACGTCTCCCTCCATCCAAGATGGCTCTCGCTCCTTCCATAGAAAGTCTTTCATATTCACCGAAACACTTATTGCCGTCTTAACAGAAGAGGGAACGCTCTTACACAACCGGATCACTTTACAAAGCCATTAATGCGCCGAATTAGTCGCTCCAGAGAAATGATTGCTTGATCGCTTGGGCTCAACTGAGGGTCAATGAGATGTTGAGTGTGAGAAATGAAGTCCTGTCTGTCCTTACACACCTTACACAGGTGTACCACCACCAATTCATCACACGTTTGTCAATGGGTAGGAAAGATTTGTGTACAGATACTCGGCCATAACGGCCTCAGACGACATGCAGTATGCGACACAAGAAGGATCAACAACCAAACAGCCGTTTCTAACGGGAACTTCTCTCTTTGTCTCAACAGCTGGATGAGCAGGTGGCAGCCGCCCATCTTGATAAACTGGGGGTGAAGCTGACCAAGCTGACGGACAAGCAGTCCAAGTACCTGGGTCTGCCCGTCCAGGGGCCCTTCAAACCGGACCACTATCGCTACTAAGCGCCCTCAAGAGATGGAGGTGGTGTGGCTGGAACGGTGTTGAGGTGGAGCAGGGTTCGGTGTTTGGAGCACTTTGGGCATAGTTTTTGGGTGTTTTGGGCTCTCAAATGTCAACTCTTCAGGGATACTGAGGGACAGTTTGTTTGTTTCTTTCCCCTTTTTTTAATTAGTCTTTTCATATCCAATGCTAAAGAAATGTATTCCACAAGTTGCATCCTGTGTCACTTGACAATGCTAAAGTGTGGAGCCAAACACCTTGTTCTGCTTTACTGCCGTGAGATCAAAGTTATTCTACCAAACAGCTGTGGTTGAATCACCACTGCATCGAGCCAAAGCTGTCAGCAGCTTTATGCAGGAGTTCATCGGGAGGGAGCCGACGTCTTTGTTCAGACGCACCATTCGAAACATCGGAAACTTGTATTTCAACTAAAAGCATATTTGTTTGTCTCACCGCTATCTTGTTTTACTCTCTCGACACGTGACGTCTTCAGTCGTCCACCGTCCTCTTTCTTTCTCATCAACTCCTCTGAAACACCCAGTGCTACTGTGGCTGCTTAGAGTTTGTCCCTCTCCATTAATGGAATAAAATAAACCCTCATGCTGTTTATCACCTGAGCTCATCACAGCAGGTGTTCTTCTAATGAATGGAGGTAAACGGTTTAGTACAGCGGCCTTGTTCCAGTATGTTGACATCAACGCTGCCCTGTGTTAGCACTTATGAAAGCTGCTCGGTGTTTCTCGGTGTGTTTACTAATTATCCCGGTTTATTGGTAAAGAGGAGCAATGCTGCCAAAGGATCCACTGAAGCACATCATGTTTTTACCTCATAGAAAAAAAAGTCTTATTTCTGTTGCTTGATTTTTATTTTTTATTTTTTTTTTTTAATAATTGATTTTTTTTTTTTTTTTATTTTTGTTAATTGATTTATTCATTTGACTTGAAGGGCCAAACACCACCTCAGTTTCTTTCTTTTCCTCACTGTAGCCTTCAGGGCGACGTTAAAGCGGTGGTCACAGTTCTCTACGGTTAAAGCCTGAAGCTCAGCTGCTCGTACGAGCTGTCAAGTGTGACAAATAAAACATGTGACTGGACTGTTCGTGGTTGTGTGAGAAAACAGATATTTTTGACAAGTGAAGTCCTGCTGTTTACAGTTAGCAATGACGTCTTTTCTGCTGGGTATTGTAGTTTTCATTCCCGTCAGTAGTTGCGTGCTGCTCATGACTGCTGGGATCTGGAGACGAGTCCAGACAGAAGTGGAAACACATGCCTGGTTGGAATAAACTCCCTCCATAAAGCAAACTTATTTTGGAAAAGGACCCACTGTACATTTTATATTTTCCTTTCTATTAACATCCATCAGACTTCATAGTTCAACTTTGACATACATGCGTGCTAAAGCAGTGCATACACACAGTTAAAGCAAGATGGTTACAGACGTTTATATTTTAGGTTTGACCTCCAATGAGTGTTTCTGACCTTAAGAGTTACGATCCAAACTACTAAGCTTTGTGTTCAAGTGAAGGTTCCACATCACCTTATATTATCCTATAATCACAGCTTCTTAAACATGTAGGTGGAGTTAACATGTTCTCGGTTTTATCCTCGCCAACAGAATTTTGAAAGAGTCGGTGTTAGAACAGTGAATCTAATGTCCTGCGGCCCAGTCTTTGGATGTTTAGATGATCGGTCCGCTTGTTTACAATGTTTCTTCAGTGTGGATGTTATAATAAACTTCATTAGTACAATTTTATCACAACATGCAGAACTGGAAAGACAGAGTTCTGATAAAACTACTTCTAAAAGTTCCTCTAAAGAGGACAGGTAGGCTGGGATGGGTACTGGGGTCAACCGAGTGATTTGAATCCATAAATATGGGCCCTGCTGATTGAAGCCGTGCATACTGTAGTTGCAACATTCCTGGTTTGAACCCAGCTGCGGACCTTGTGGCACGCTGTCCTCTGAATAAAGGCATCAAACATTTCGATCAAACACAGGTGCTGAGCTACACGCATCCAGGGGGCAGCAACCTTTCTGATCTGTTAATATGCCACATCAACATCAAGGCTATTAAGTTTAATTATGACATCACAGCCAAATAATTCTCTAACACATCTGTAAATGTATTCCATCCATAAAGGCAACATGCAGAGCAACATTGTTTGCAAGAAATCTCCCACAGTCATGTCCTGTAATTATATATTAGAGCACTAATACAAGATCAATACAACATATGAGTTACAATCATAAACCTACCAACCTGGTTCATCAGCAATAAACTGTAAATGTGCGAAGAAGGCAGCGAGTGCGAGCCAATCTAATGGTGGATTAAGGACAATAAAAAGCTTGAATAAGTCCCGGAGGGGCCAGTTCATCACTCCATTGACTTTCTGCTGCTGCGGTGGGATGCACCACCAACAGCGTGAAGAACCCAGAACTAATATTTATATTGAATTACACGGAGGATACAGGCAACAAGATGTGAGTCGTGGTAAAACTGACGCTCAATATGCCGAACGTTACATATGCGCCAATCAATTCTCACTATATTTAAACTAAAGCATCGACAGTGTGGATACATCACAAAGCTGTGCAGCGTTATGTTCTCAGCAGGAACTGTCATTTCTTTTTTTAATTCACAAGATAAAGTTACAAATAAGGTTATCAATACATTTACAAATTCATCCTCTAGATGAGCAGATAAAAACACCGTACAGAATAAAATAACATACAAAGAACAAGGTAGAAAAATAAATGTAATTAAAAAAAGATTAGGCAAATATAGGGTTATAGGGTCAGATAATTTCCAGTACTATATATATATATAGTATATCTTTGGCATGTTTGGATTCTAATAATTTCAGGGACTTACTATAGTGTTGCGCTTCATTATTGTAGGACATTCGGTCTGTAGGTCTTTACATATTTTGCCTCTTGAATAAAGACTTAAATTAGTAAAACAATAATCCATTCTTTTCTTTTGTCTTTGCCGGGATTATGATCAATAGTACACATTGCTGTGGATTTGCTACTTAATCGCTCCATGAATTGTTTCCAGAACAACTGGGTTTGGGAGCACGAAACAAAGAGATCCTCTGTTCCTTCAGTATCATCTCTACAGAAAACACACTCATTGCTGTCAAAGCCAAATGTTAATCTGGAACATTCACTGGAGCGGCAGAAATCAGTGATTCCTAATGAATTTCTTTTGTTTTGGGTGAAACAAAGAGTGTTTGAAGAACTTTGTTCTCAGTTTAGATACTTTCTAAAATACTCAAAATACGAGTTCTGCAATACTGAGCCGGGTATGAATCTTTATTATTCATTTGAATCAAGACAATCAGACATTGTAGGGTGATGAGATGGGGACTGAGAGAACAATCTTCGTTCAGGGATAAGGAGTGTAGTGGGTTTAAATGTTTCTATCAAAGTCATATTTACAACCCATAAACACTGTATTGTAATAAGGTAAATACATCTACATTTGCACCTACCAGGTCCATTACACACCTAATATTCCTGTCGCTCTACTTCCAATAAAAGTGATTTTCTTTTGAGACTGTTGTTCCAGTGTGAAGTATTTAAAAAGCTTAAGAGGTGATTCAGTGACTTTGTGTTCACATTTTAAGACGAACTCAATCGCGTCAAATATAGTTTGAGGTATTTATGTACGAGTTACAGCCAGTGGGGTTCAACACGCTACAGTAGCGTGCTAACACATGGCTAACATTAGCTCGCTAACGGCTAACTGCACCCCTGGTAGAAATAAAATCATCCTTCGACATGCTGAAGTCTAAACGCTTGTCTACATCTGACACGAAACAGGGAAGGAACTACTGGATAGAAATACATAAACAAATGAATAACATGTTTTATTCTTTTAAGTTATCTGGTTTAGTAAACTGACGTGATTATCTTTAAATAGTTTTGTCAGTTGTGACACTTCTTGTGACACAATGTGGTATCTGTTTAAAGCACTTTATAATTGTAGTTATAAGCACTCATAAATATTCATATGTCTTTATAACAATAACTATAACACATAATAAAGCTTTCTTTTTTTACTTTTTTGGTCAAGTATCAAAACACTTCTTAATTCTCATTTTATTCTCAAGTATAGTGTATTGTAATTCCCGTAATACGTTATAATCCTTTTTATAATGCGGTTATAATGCATCATAAAGTGATTATAGATTACTCTTAGTCTTTGTTTGAAGAAAAGTGAAAATATAAAATGTCAGTGAGTAACCAGCAGTTATGAAGTATTCTGATACTTGTCCTTATACGTCATTATAAAATGCTTTGTGTGTTATGTTTATTGGTTTAAAGCATTATCAATATTTACGAGTGCTTATAACTGTAATTACACAGCTGATATTACCAGATTATAACACTATATATTTATGTTTATAATGCATTATAGACATTGGCGTCATAAAAGTGTTCCCTCTTCTTTTCATTGTTTTCCTCAATCTTGTTTTAATATATTAAACTATTTGATCTGGGCCGCACAGCTGATCCTGGAGTCCTTGAGCAAGGCACTGTAGCGTCCAGTGAAGCTGGTACACTATGCGGTCAAAGCGTGCAGAGCGTTTCGTGTCTGAAGAGTTCGAGGTGATCGCAGGAACTGCCAGGATTTATGGAGAAAAAAGAGGAATATTCAGTTTCATTGACATCCCGCCTAAATATAACAAACAGGGACGAAGAGTACCCACTTGTTCAATACTTAACATGTAAGGAAATGCCATTGGTGGCACTAAAAGTGTGGTCTCATATTTGTGTTATCGGGTCTCTGAAGTGATATTTTGCACAGGAAGCTGCTGTTTGGCCTTACAATGCAAACAGCATGAACGCTTCGATAAGATCTCTGCTGCACAAGTCCTCCGGGCATCAATCAAAGCTTCAATTTCATTATAAGAATCGAGTTAGCTGTCCAAACACAAACCAGATGTCAGAGCAGCAGATCTGATACAGATAGAAGCACTTTCAATTATTCTCAGGACCACGCTTGAAAGGCTTCTGATTGGGTTAAACCTCAGAGGTGGGATGCGGGGACCTTTTTTGAAAAAAAAAAACAAAAACATGATTGAGATGAGGTTACTGTAAAAAACAAACACTTGACAAAACAAGAGCAAGAAGTGCTGCTCATACAACCCAACACAACCTGAGCTGTTAACCTAATAATAGCCAAGAGTGAGAAACGGTGACTTTATATCCGAGCTTGAAACTTCGGCATCAGCGTGTTCTTGTTGCTAGATCCGTAAGCAGGAGGTCAACTGCAGTTGTTCATCCACTCAATCAATCAATTATCTATACGGCACCTTTCGTACAGGTTAGTGCAGGGTGACGGGTGACTGACGGTGGAGAATAGGGGCGTCCTCAGGCGGCTACCTCCGGGTCTGCAGAGTGAAGCCAATGCTGATGTGGTTGCATAAAGGAGTCTGATTGTAGAGTATTGATCTCTACTTCTCTCTTGATTTATTACCTCAGTAAACATTGTAAACATGAGTTTATGGTCTCAATCTCTAGTTTCAAGTCTTCTTCAGTACAGCATGATGTTCATTTAGTAAATGATGCTCCATTAGAGTCAAACAGACCATGAAGCAGGGGATGCGTACTGTGACGTCACGATGACTACGTCCACTTCTCGTATACAGTCTCTGTGACTTCATTCAGGTTTCTGAAGAGCCGTTCTGAAGCTCAACGTATAGAACTGCAGTTTTTCGGGCACATCCGCGTTTGCTTCATTTCTCATCAATGGAGGTTGCCGCTTTGGTTTCTACAGTAACCCGAAATGGGTTAATGTAAGTCTTGAATCTGTAAGTGGTAAATTTAATAACGGATCTGGTGTTTTCTGACCTTTTATAGCAATATTATTTTGTTTGGTTGTAATATTTAGTAACTTGTAAAATAGTCGACGTGAAAGAGAATTATGATATATTTATATGTTGCCCACCCCTAGTGGGAACCTAAATGGTACAACAATGGTAGTCCAATGCACACCGATAGGAAAATAAAGAGTGACAAAAGAGTTCAATGTGAATAAAATAAATTAAGTAAAAAAATTGATACATGTTAAGCTAAAAGTAGGTTTGGTTGAGTCGAGTGATATTCTTAAAACTATTTAAATAAAAACACATCAATGGGTGTAAGTAAGTAAGTAAGTAAGTACAATGTGTTTATAAAGCGCTTTTCACAGTCACAAAGTGCTTAACAGGAGCAGAATTACAAACATAAAAACACAATGTGACCTTATATGGGCCAATAATTTACATTATGAATGCACCAAACACAGAAAGTACAAAAGTAAAACATGGTT